CCCCCTATGTATTTAAAAAAGGACTTCTTGTTATCCTTGATCTGGGTCGCTAGTCCCAGTTCCATCTCTACCTTAGCCTTCCTAGCAGCCCCCTATGTTCTTCAGCAATGGAGGTATAATCCTTCTTGGTGATGGCCCCTCCTTTCCACTGGGTGTACGCCACCTTTTTAGCTTTGAGACATTCCTGGATGCTTTTGGTGAGCCATGGGGGCTTTTGAGCACTCTTGCCCCCTTTGATCCATATTGGGATTGTCACTCTTTGGGCTTGGAGGATTGTCTCCTTAAGGAATGACCACTCTTCCTGGACTCCCAACTCCTCTCCCCTCCGGGACCTCAGTGCCTCCCCAACTAGTCTCCTTACCTCATTGAAATCTGCCCTCCTGAAATGCAGGGCTGTTGCCTTGCTGCAGGCCTTTGACACCCTGCACTGGATGGTGAATTCCAGTAGGCAATGATCACTATTGCCCAGGTGGTCAAGAACCCGCAGTCCACTCACCAGGTCATCTCTGGTGGCCAGGACTAGGTCCAACAAGGCATTTCCCATGGTGGGACTGTGCACCTCCTGGGTTAGATGGAGGTCCTGTAACTTGGCTAGGAACCTACGTGAGTGGTCAGACCTGGCTGACTGCTCCTCCCAGCAGGTGTCCAGGTAGTTTAGGTCACCCATTATGACCATGTCCCTTGACTTAACTGCCTCCACAAGCTGACCTGAGAATTCCCAGTCCAGCTCTTCCCCCAGGTTGGGTGGCCTGTAGTAAACCCCTACCGTTAAGTCCCTTTCCCCCGACCCCCTTGTATATGGACCCAGAGCACTTCAGTCTGCCCCTCCTCTGATCCAATGCTGTTTGTTGAGGATGTGTATTGCTCTTTGACGTAGAGCGCCACACCCCCACCTTTCCTCCCTGTTCTATCCCTCCTGTACAGCCTACAGCCCTTGATGTTTACTGCCCAGTCATGTGTTGGATCCCACCAAGTTTCAGTGAGCCCCACTGTGTCCGGGTTAGTGATAGCTAGCAGGAGGGCAAGTTCCTCTTGCTCGTTCCCCATGCTACGAGCATTAGTATAGAGGCATTTAAGGCCTCCTGGAGGGGTATGCACTGCCCCGCTAATCCCAGGACTATCTGGGCCCCTCTTACCTGGGTATTTCTTGTGCTAGTTGCCTGTCTTGGCTGGGCTGTTTGCTTTACTACGTAGAGCTTTAACTACCTAGTAACTTTTGGTATTGTAAAGCAAGCTGTTTGTTTGTTTGTTTTAAGCTTTATTTAATACCGTACTGTGTCTCTACACATGCAATAACTATTGGTATTACATCGCAAGCGGTTCCCTCAAATTCTACTGTATTTAATATCTGTACTATTAAGTAGAGGTGCACCAATATATTGATCCATATTGGATTGGCCCCGATAAAAGGAAAATTGATGTTAAAGGCAATCGGGTTTTGTTTGGCCGGTGCAGCTAATAATGGCACCAATAAAAGCCAGGCACATGTGCGCAGCTGCAGCATGCGTGTGGCCAGGAATGCAGCCTGGGAGCTTGGAGAGCAGCATTCAGCTGGTAATTCTGTTGTGGGGGAAGGGGTGTTGTGGGGGCAGATCAAGGTCCCCACAGTGAGTGAGGGAATGGGGCTGGGACAGGATGTGGGGCGGAGCTGCTGGCAGCTCATCCATAGAAGCAATGGGGCGGTTACCCGCTGTTGCGCATGCCCACTGAATTTGTGCATGGG